AGCCATAGTTAATTTAAGTCAATAAAGTTTTGTTGCTGTTTTATTTAGGTCGATGTCACAGCTTGCAGACGATCGTTCAGCAAAAGCTGCGTGTGCTCGTGACTCTTTAGCTCCGCCCACGACACGCCTCCAGGAGCTCGACTGTTTTCGGGGAGAGAAGCGGTACAGCTGTATCTGTCTTTTATAAATCTGATAAAACTAAAGGCTTATGAAGGAGATATGAAGGATGCAATACTACTCTATAGGTACTCAAGATTAACATGAGATTAGCAGAAATTGTGTTATGTCCCCTTTAATTGTGATAATATTTCACAATATTACTTTTTATCAAATAAATGCAGCCTTCTTTCAAAAAAATCTTAGCATAGTTATCTTACAGAAGTGTGTATATATATATATATATATATATCACAGAACCGCATACGCACCTGCTCCTTTAAGACGCACCAGCACAGGATACTGTATGAAGAGCTTTTTAATAGTGATAAGCAGAGACATCCACTCATCACGCCTTTCATTCTGGGCCACCACCCTGCAAGAGAATAAAAATAAGGACTGCTGCTTAAACCAGTACTAAGCTGCCAGTCTTAATGCTTAGTGAACTTCTGGACCTGTAGAAATCCTCATAATAACGTCCCTCATGGTCTTGTCGAACTGACGCTCTTTGGATCTCTGGGAACTCTTCTACATGACGAAAGACGCATAATAATTATTATTATTCAAATCATACAACCCAAGCACTGTTTTAAATATGAAACATTTACCCAGTGATTTGGCAGAGTAGAAGGTACGAGAGAACAGCACTACTGTAACCTCATGGCTGCAATTCTTCTCCTAGAAAAGTGGCTACATTTTAACAAAGACAATCCCATAATGCCAAAGAACATAATCATATTCAGCTATATCGTGCAGATAACGTTACTATTGGTCAATGATAAAGTTAACACTCACTTTCCATTTGGCAAACAGATCCGAAAGGAAACCATTGACAGCTTTCTCAAAGTAAAGATCACCTGTGAATGAAGTCAGCAGCTGAAATCACCTGAAATAACAGATTTACTCTTCAAATATAGATAATAATAAAAAAAAATTTTTTTAATTGTCTCTTTACCATAGATATCAAAGTCCCACATCTCACAGCTCATCTGAATGAATATATAAACCATCGCTGAGGTGGAGCGAAACACCACCTAGGTGGAGAAAACATGTGAAAAAATTTATAGTGATGGATAGTAAAACAAATTGAATTTCCAAAGAGAAATTCTCACCCTTGTATCTTCACTAATGTAGCCACAAGTGACCTTCTCTCCTTTTACCCACAATTCACTGGTCTGCGCCCTGAAACCATGATAAAACGATTTTTTGGTTAGGCATACACTACTGTTGAAAAGTTTGGGTTCAGTAAGATTTGTAAATGCTTTCTCTTATGCTCACCAAGACTGCCTTTATTTGATTTAAAAAGTACAGTAAAAACAGTAAAAATATCATTACAATTTAAAATAACTGTTTTCTATTTGAATATTTTTTAAAGTGTAATTTATTCCTGTGATGTAAAGCTGAATTTTCAGCATCATTACTCCAGTCTTCAGTGTCACACGATACTTCATAAATCATTCTAATATGCTGATTTGAAGAAACATTTCTTATTATAAGTGCTGAAAACAGTTGTGCTGCTTCATATTTTTGTAGAAACTGATAGAACAGCATTTACTTTAAATATTTTAAAACATTTTAACATTTTTTAATGTCTTTACTGTCACTTTTGATCAATTGAAAGCATCCTTGCTGAATAAAAGTATTAATTTCTTCCAAAAATATGAAAAAAAAAAAACTGACCAAAACCTTTGAACGCCAGCGTATAAGTCATTATATACATACTTCTGACTGTAAAATACTTAAACTGACCAATCAAAATCAAGTATTCCAGACAGCCTGTAATAATGGATGTTGTTACCTGATCCCTGCAAACTCTACTTTCTGTGTCACATACGCACATGTGCTCACCTGAAAGAACATCATGGAGACATAAAGATCATTGCAAGACATCAAAAATGAACATCCCATGCAGATTTGAATCTAATCTACTCACTAAGCTCTTCTTCAGTCTCCACATGTCTCCTCGTCCAATATACTGATCTTTAAAGGTGAGCTCCACCAGATCCAAAGTCACATCCTGTTAAATTTCAATGGAGAATTTAGGTAATGAGGTACGAGAGGCTGTGCTATATTGTGAATATGGTGTGTAAATTAAATAGTAGGACTGTGCAATAAACAGTATTTCTGTGTAAAATACCTTTGGGTCCACAATATTGATGATGACGTCCTGGTAGGCACGAAGCTTGAAGGCCTGAGCCACTGTCTGATCTACACTGATAGTTTCTGTTAACGGAAAAAGAGAAAATTCACACTGAGATATAGCCGATTAATAGTTACTAGTACAGAAAATGAAGCGCTAATTTAAACACCTTTCTGCAGGTCTTCTTTCAAACTCTTGACCTGCAGCAGCAGAGGACTAAGACAAAGACATTGTAAACATACAAATATTATCAATGCATATATAAATATACACTTTATTTTACTTACACTGTACTTACCCAATAAAGTATTGGGTATTACAAGGTAACTACATGGGTCAAGGATAGGTTTAGGGGTAGGTTCAGGGTTAGTACCTAGCTATTACCCAGTTATTATAATTGTTATAAAAAGCACATAGTATGTACATGTACATGCAGAACAGGACTGTAAAATAAAGTGCTACCAATATGCCAGGCAATATACAATAATGTATAATATACAAAACAACAGTGTTGTTTTATTAATATGTGACCCTGGATCACAAAACCAGTCTTAAGTCGCTGGGGTATATTTTTATCAATAGCCAAAATAACATTGTATGGGTCAAAATTATTGATTTTTCTTTTATGCCAAAAATCATTAGGATATTAAGTAAAGATCATGTTCCATGAAGATATTTTGTACATTTCCTACTGTACATATATCAAAACTTAATTTTTGATTAGTAATATGCATTGCTAAGAACTTCATTTGGACAACTTTAAAGGCGATTTTCTCAGTATTTAGATTTTTTTGCACCCTCAGATTCCAGATTTTCAGTTGTATAGTACAATAGTTGTATCTCGGCCAAATATTGTCCTATCCTAACAAACCATACATCAATGGAAAGCTTATTTATTCAGCTTTCATGTGATGTATAAATCTCAATTTCAAAAAATTTACCCTTATGACTGGTTTTGTGGTCCAGGGTCACATATTTTGAATTAGTTTTTATTTTGACATTTTGTTTTCTTTATTATTTCAGTTAAGGTTTTAGTAATTTTGTTGTATGTTTTTGTCATTTTTATTAGTTTTTCTTTTTAAATATGTAGTTTATGTAGTATATACAGTTTGCATTCATTTTTATTTTGGTTTTAGTTAAAAAATTTCAAATTCAAATTCAAATTGTTAATAAGTTGATTTTATTTAAATATTTTATTACAAGTATATGAATATATATATATATATATACACACACACACACACACACACACACACACACACGTTTTAAAACATTTAATGTTAGATTGTGATGTAACATTTTTATTTTATTAAATCATGACTTTTTATAGGATGAAATGTGACATATCTGCAGACATATTTTTAAGTTTGACCTGAAATTATATTAATATTCTTTTTTAATATGTAGTTCATGTTGTCTATATAGTTTTTATATATTTTTTTTGTTTTAGGTTTCGTTAGAAAATGAAAATAAATATTGTTAATAAGTTATTATAATTTATTATAATTAATACATATATAATATCTAACTATTGTGTAAATTATGAAATATATTTTATTTCAAGTATATTAACACACACACACACACATATATATATATATACATCAGCAGAAAGCTCCTCTCACCTGTACTCATCATTTGGATGTGCAATCTCAACAATATCCCCCAGTTTAACCTGAGGAAAGACTTTAGGGTTCATCATCAACTCATCATCTGTGGAGAAAGAGAGAGTGTTAAGAGATGCGTGCAAAAACACCAGGATGTTAAATGAGCCAGTGTCATGAACTAAAACTACTTCAGTTTTTAAACGTTAAGAACATTCTCACCGCTCCCTCCAAAGCCCTTCTTGTGCACCACAAGTTTGTAGGACTTGTTTGCCTTCATGGTAACAGTCATTGTAGTCGTGATGATGTACAGACAGTCACATTCACATTTACAAACAGAGAAATATCCAGTGCTGAAGCAGTCTGCAGAATATCAACATTTCTGCATCCTTCAAGACGGCATGATATGCAGGAACAAAAGTTTTAAATGACACGTAAAGAGCTTGAAGATGAAGAAACACAGTCAAACTCATGACAGTCTGTCTGTCATCCTCCTGTTTGTTTACAAGTCGCGTGACTCATTTCTTCTGATCCCAGAGAACGCTCTGCAAAAACGTCTTCTAATTGTAAGACGCAGGTATATTACATAGAAGGTCAATATTTATTTATACACCGACAACGCATAGCTTAACGTATACCTGTCAGAAATAATGCAAAATTTGTGTTTACGGAAAAAAAATGGAGTGTCTTCTTCGGGTTTATGATAATAGAGATAACGTTACACAGCGCCGCCTAGCGCATTGGAGATTCGCAGTCAGTAATAAGTCTCTGCCTAAATTATAATATAATATACCACTTTAAAGTGAAGATCTAACCATTTCAGAAGATATGATAATGCTATTTTGCGTTCTTTGTAGAAAAATCTCAAATAATAGCCTAAGTTTACTAAGTCTAGCTATCTGTTACACTTTATGATTATGTTTGTACATTGTCAAACTATGCTTCTTTTCTGATAAGCAATATGTTTCCTTCTATCACTGCTGTACATATAGATTTCTCAAGGTAAAGACAAATACTGATAAAAAAAGTCATAAGCTGTGCTCAATTGTAATGTATGTTTATTTCATCTGCCAAAGGAAGATAAAAAAATACAAAAGGAAAAGGAAAAACACAATGCAATTATTAAATGGCAGTTTATGCAGCAAAAATACTGACGTTAATACTACAGTATAAATCAAATGTTTGAAATCATATTTGATGTCAGTCCCTTATTTTGATGTGTTCTGATAAGGTGGTCCCTCTCAGAGAGTACATTAGTGATGCACCAACTCAGAGGTTGGTTATGTCAACCAAAACACTTTGTTTTCTACTAGGTTAAACATTTATTCTGTCCTGTAATACAAATTGGTTATTTCTTCTTCTTGAACCATTGAGGGTCAACAACAGGACTTCTTCTTTGGCTTTTCCTGTGCATCTTCCAGTGCGTTATCATCTGAAATAACAAACCCACATTATTTTACTCCATAAAACACAACATTTATGTCAGTGAACATCTCCGTTTTATGATTTCAGAGTGCAATCTCTTACCGAGAATATTTCCATCTCCAATCTGAGCCGTGCTGCTTCCTGTCTCCAGGTCCTTCAGTATGGCATCTTCAAAGGCCAGAGCTGCTACGCGAAAGAAAAACTCCTGGACATTCTCCCCTTTAAACCCATAGCAGTAACAGTTACAAGTAGCATCCATCTTGTACTTCTTGTAATGGACATAGCAACAACTATAAAGTACATTTATATTCTTATCCCTTCAGAATGTACCTGTTTTTGAGGACAACGACCAAAACTCAGCGTTCATTTCTGCTGCAATCTTTATGGCATCGCTCTCTGTTCTCTGGCACTCTTCTGCAGACTTCACATAAGGACAGCAGGAGTCTTTAATAGCTTTAACAAGTTGTATGTGTACATATGTGTGCTTGTCTGTGGGGGCTTTTCTCACCAGGAGGTCTCTTTTTGTGCCAACCAAGAAAACAAAACAAGAGTCTGGTTCATTTTCCCGCAGTGCCTCTGATAACCACTGTCTGAGGAACAAACAAAAAATCATTAAAATTAAAATTCCTCAACACCTTTTCAATCTTCAAAACACTACTATAGGTTTTACTTCTGTAGACAGGCTTGTGGATTATAACACTACAGAACAATAAAACAGAACTAATAAATGGAAATTCTTACCATAAACAGAAATACCAGATACTTTTGGCAATAAAGTGAATAAGAACAGTAGTTTTCTCTAGTTGTTGAAATGCTGTCTGTTCCAACCATTTCCATTTAGGAATCATTCACAATAAGGCCAGGAATGTGCATTAATAAAGTAAATAGGGTATATGTGCCCTTAATATGACCCCACTACTGAGAAAACTACAGGAAGCAGCTGTGGGAAGCCTTTTTATTTGAGCAGAATTAGCTGCACTAAGGTTCCTCTATGGATGTCACACATTCTCAATATACTAATCTGATGTGTTCGCTACAGTATACTGAATGCTTCCTGAATTTCCTGTAGTACCACTTGCAATATGAATAATACATTTTCAAATACAGAATGACCTATTCCATTACAGTGCCTGTAAATAATTAATATAATGTGATGTTAGAGAGTGTACCTTTGGAAATGTGGATATGATCCTGTCCCTGCTGACAGGAGGGCTGGAATGCATTGTCTTGTCAGCAGGTTGTAAAGGGAAACTCGGCTGTGAAAGACACACACTATCAGCACTACCATATAACCTGTTTACTCTGTACATTTACATCAACCTGAACTACTTTGTATAGTGTATACTAAACATAGTAATATATCCAGCAAAGCCATAATAACTTTATTATGGCTTAGCTGGATATAACTTTATATATATATATATATATATATATACACCACCTTTTCAATCTTCAAAACACTACTATAGGTTTTACTTACTGTGTGTGTTCCAAGCTCTTGATATCCGCCATGTCGAAGACAGTAATAATAACTTTTAAAGTAGAAACAGAAAGGAATATATTGGGGTTTAAATGGACTCTGATCTGGAGTATTAAAGGAATAGTTCACCCAAAAATGAAAATTTGTAAAAAGTTTACTCACCCTCAGGTCATCCAAGATGTAGATGAGTTTGATTCTTCATTGGAACAGATTTGGAGAAATGTAGCATTACATCACTTGCTTACCAGTGGATCCTCTGA